CCCTCTCCATCTCCCCCATCCCCTCCCATTCACAGGCTACCCTCACACCTCTCCTCATCTGCCTGGCTCCTGGAGTCTCCTGTGTTTTAATCCTGTAGTTTGTGGTCAATGTTCAGGTGAGTTTTGTTAAATCAAGTTCTTTTATATACACAGTTAAAAGTGAGAGGGATAGAGTAGACGGGTGCCCAAAGCTATTCTCATTTTCCATTCTCATCCTAGAGCAGGCTTTGTTCTGCTCTCTGTGTAAGAGAAGGCCCAGGAGCTGAGGGAGACGGTACAAGTGTGAAGATGAACTGCTCACTCAGACTTCACAGAAACTACTTGCAGGGAGTTTCAGGCCCTTCAAAGGTTTGAGTGATGGTCTCTTAAAAGTCAATTCTGCTTCTAATAATAGATGACCTGATCATTCATTCATTATTATGTCCATTTTACAGATTAGGGCTATTATTATGCCCATTTTACAGAAGAGGAGACTAAGGCCATTTAACACTTGCTGAACACTAGGCACTGTGGGGAAGACAAAGATGATCTTTTCCCTCAAGGATTTACCATCTACTGGGGGCGATAAGACGTACAAAAGTATCAATGCTACAAAGGAAGTGGGTATCAGCAGCTAAGACAGGCCACCTCAGTGAGCTTTGTTTTAGGGACGCAGCAGCTCAGAAAAAGTAGATGAGTTCACAGATCTTCTAACTAGAAACTGGGGAACCAAGAGAGGCTTCCACAGAGACTACCACAATCATCATGCGGACTAAATGAAAGTAGGATGACAATGGTAAACAATTTATTAAGCATTAGAAGATACTATTCCGGGCATTTTATACGCATTGCCTTATTTGACCTCCACAATAACTTTAATAAGTACATGCTATTTTTATGACCATTTTACAGATGAAGAAACTAAGGCCATTAGAGGTTAAGAAGCCTGCCCAAGATTACCCAGCTAGGAGTGGTGGAGCATACAGTCTGACTGCAGAACCCATGCTCTTAACCACTCTTCTATCCTGCTCTATACATGAGATCTATACACAGATCCAGTCTCAGAAGGAATGATTTCACTGTGTTGGGCACATCTACTACCAAACTTCCTAAGCAGATTCTCTATACCAAAATGTGAAAGCAATCTGTGGCTGGCTACCATTACTGAACATTTTGATCAAGGATTCTATAGAGGAATCCCTGGAGCCATGGAGGCTGAGTGAACCCTTGAAACTATTGTCCTAAAATAATCTTTAAACCTTAAATGAAAAATATCTTCTGAAGTCTTCTTAAAACCAAACAATAGCTTATCTAGTAAAGAATGCCTGCCTTGAGCATTATGGTCTTTTAAGAACTATCTGTATGGGATCAAAGTGACAACAGCAATTCAAAAAATTAGATAGGAAACTTAGGGGGCAGTGAGTCTATGTTAATGGGGGAGGAACAACCCAGAAAAGGAGGGTGAGAATGGTTGCACAACTCAAAAAATGTAATCAGTGTCACTGAATTGTACATGTAGAAACTGTTGAATTGGTGTATATTTTGCTGTGTATATCCTCAACAACAACAAAATAAATTTAAAAAATTTTAAATATCTTGAAAAAAAAATGTGACAGCAGCCTGATCAAAGCTGGGAGAAGGGGATTATGTTCAGTTATCTAACAATGATCATACATTCTTAAGCTCTGGGCCTGTAAATGTCCAAATAATCTTCACAGGACAGAGTTATCTGAGGTGGTGTGTGGGAAAGTGACACACACTTCCCATACTATGTCGTGGGGCAGCTGCCTGGCTGACAGCTGGCGGGGAATCCGTGGAACTTGGATGGCCTTCAGAACTTGTACCCTGTGAAACATGTCAGTTTATCTTACTATACTTATTTTTACTCTAGGGAAGTCACCAACATGGGAACCCTGTTCCCTGTGGTGGTCTGAGTCCATGGGACAAACCAAAACAATGGAACCACAGCTCCAGGGAAACTGAAGCTTGGCTCAGCTCCCTCCTGAGCGGGCTCCATTTTAGAGGAAGGCAGCATCTCAGTGATGCTAAGAGCAAAGGCTGCAGAGAGCGTCAGTCTGCTGTGCCGTCTCTCTTTGAGCACACGCGAGTTTTATTTTAGACTCTTAGAGTGTTATTTTGAAGTTACATCGCAGCCACATTACTAGGGTATAGGATATAATCGATCATCCTAGAAAATCAGATGCTACCCTCCCACTGTACCACAACCTTAGTAGTCCTTTCCAATCATGTGGCCTCCTGAAATGTGCCAGGCATTTTCCAATGTTGCAATGCTCCTGATGAGATGCGCATAGTGGCAGAGCAAAGAAGGCTAGATAATCAAAGTACCATAGGTCTCAATTTACATTTTGATTTGCATTATTTGTCCCCTATTGCCTGAGCTCTTTATGGTCTGTAAGAACTTCTTATAAGTCCTGGGAACAGGGAATGCATGTTAATTTGCATGGTTGACTATATACTAAGTCCATCTCTCAATTCATCTTTCAACATGGTAGCACAGTGATTGGTACAGAATAGTAGCAAAGTACAATTTTGTTGAATGGATGAATGAATAAATAAAAGTATATTTGAATGTACGTATGCATGGATGACTAAATGAATGCAAAGGAGAGGAACTTTCCTACCAGAGACATGCAATATATTTAATATCTAGTTTTTTCAGATCTATAAGTTCATGTCCAACAATTAAAGGGAACAAAATAAAATCCAGTTGCTGATGGTGTTACCCCCAGTTAGTGTGTCAGCAAAGTTTCTGTTGCAGGTCGGCACAGGGTTCTTACTCTTACTATATCTATTTTGTTTTCTGGAAACTCATCTTTACTTGAAAAATGGATGTGTATTTCTAGCAGCCCCCTGGTTTTGCCATACAGACAGCAGCCTACTCTGACCACTCATAAGGGGCGTGACCCGTGTCAAGGGTAGGTAGGAAATACAAATGAATCAGAGGTAGCTAACAGCCTATTTTGGAAGTGCTTGTAAAAAGATCTCATCAATGTAAGGTGGGAACCCACTGTTCTCCAGGTAGAGAACAGCATGCTTATCATCATAGTAAAAAGTGGCAAGTCTTAAGGCACTGGTATGGTTTAGGGGAAGGAACCCTGGTGGCATGGATGGTTAAGTGTTCAGCTGCTAACTGAAAGGTTGGCAGTTTGAACCTACCCAGCAGCTCCGCAGGAGAAAGACCTGGTGATCTGCTTTCATAAAGATTAGAAAACCTTATGGGGCAGTTCTACTCCATCACATACCCTCTATGAGTAAAAAACTGACCCAACAGCACCTAACAACAACTACAGGGTTTAGGGGCAGAATGGTCAGAAGTAGTACTGGTGACCAAACAAAGTAAGACAATTTACCCTGTTCTAAGCCAATATGGCAGAGTCAGGGCGAGAGGCTAGGCTAGTTAGAAAGGTCTGTGGAGATAAAAGGGGCCAATTCCTCAACCAGCAGCTGCATGAAAGAGTGAAAATTCATGTGTCCCCAAGGAGAATCTGTGGACTGCGGTGGAGGGGGTTACCTTTTTTGGAGATTTAGTACCGAGCAGCTAGAACAAGTAGAGGGAGCTTGAGGAGTTCAATTGGCCCATCACAACTCCAGAAGGAGTGCATCCATTTGCAAGGATCCATTGTGGGCACTGGAAATAAGATTCTGAACAAAATACTCCCTGACCATATAGCTCTTACAATACTGTGGGTAGGTAATAGAAAGATTCCTGGATAAGAAACTGTTATGGATTGAATTGTGTCCTCCCAAAATGTGTGTCAACTTGGCTAGGCCATGATTCTCAGTACTGTGTGATTGTCCCCTATTTTGTTACCTGATGTGATTTTTCTATGTCTTGTAAATCCTACCTCTCTGATGTTAATGAGGCAGGAGTCAATCTACAAGATTAGGTTGTATCTCGAGTCGATCTCCTTTGAGATATAAAAGAGAGAAGTAAGCAGAGAGACAGAGGGACCTCATGCCACCAAGAATGAAGAACCAGGAGGGGAGCACTTCCTTTAGACCTGGGGGGTCTGTGCTGAGAAGCTCCTAGACCAAGGGAAGATTGATGACAACGATCTTGAGTGATGGTCTCTTAAAAGTCAATTCTGCTTCTAATAATAGATGACCTGATCATTCATTCATTATTATGTCCATTTTACAGATTAGGGCTATTATTATGCCCATTTTACAGAAGAGGAGACTAAGGCCATTTAACACTTGCTGAACACTAGGCACTGTGGGGAAGACAAAGATGATCTTTTCCCTCAAGGATTTACCAGAGCTGACAGAGAGAAAGCCTTCCCTGAATTCAGACTTCTAGCCTCCTAGACTGTGAGAGAATAAAATTCTCTTTGTTAAAGCCATCCACTTGTGGTATTTCTGCTATAGTAGCACTAGATAACTAAGACAGAAGCCCAAGGCTGGAGTTGTGATCACAGCTTCCTCCAGGTTATCTGGTTGGCCTAAACAAATCACTGCACCCTTCTGAGCTTCATGTGCTATACATGGGGTAGGCTTACATTAAATTTCTAGGATTCTTTCTTGTGTTAAATAAGGGCTCTGCTCTTGAGCAGAAGAAATGTTTCTTTGATATTCATCAATTCATTGTGTTTCACCATGGTCTCTTTTTATTTTAAAATTCAAATAAACTGAATTCTACTATCTTTTATTTTAAAATGGAATGAATAATACAATCCTGCATTTGTAAAATTTTATACGTTTTTACATCTATTCATTTATGCATTCTTCCATCTAATTATGTCTTCATAGAGAGATATCAAGAACAGTGATCCCCAAGCTTCCTTCATTTGAAAGATTCTCAGTTGTTTGAATTTTAATGGTGAACATGTCATTTTTACAATATAACAAGATTTTTATTATTTACTTAAAAATATAATGAAGTGTTAGGATTCTAGGGCCAGAGAAATAGTGGCTGATTCAGTAATTGTGGGAAGCTGGGTCTTGGGAAGGAGCCTGTTTTTGTATCAATGTCCTTATGTTCCTTGGGTTGTTCTCTTCAGGTACCAGACATGCTCCAATAATGGACTGGTGGCAGGGTTCCAGAGCCGATACTTTGAGTCAGTGCTGGATCGGGAGTGGCAATTTTACTGCTGTCGCTACAGCAAGAGATGCCCGTATTCCTGCTGGTGAGTCTGGCAGCCACCCCCAACCCCACACAGATTCTTCAGACAGGAGAACAGGATGAGAGTGTTCTGTCTTCAGATAGGCCTGGCTGTCACAAACAAGCTAGGAACGCAGCAGCTAGCATATAGGAGGGAGGTGAACAAGTTAATGGATGGACAATGAAAAGAAAGGCTAGAAGAATGTTCACACTGGGGAAGACCTTAGAGGCTATCTTACCCAATGCTCCCATACCCCTCTTGTGACAGAAGAGGAAACAGAAGAGCAAGGAAATGACTTGCCTAAAGTCACCCAGCTATTTCATGGGTATGCCAAGTCTAACACTGAGGTCTATTGACTCCTGATCCAGTACTCTCTGCTCTCTACCATTCTAATTTCTCATCACATTATGGAAGCCTTCTTTGGAAGAAACCAACACTTTCATGGATCAGGAGCCCAACCATAGCATATAGACAGAAAAAGGCTACTGTTTTCTAGATCAATGTATAATGCCAGGCTGGAAGTTTTTGTTCCTTTCCCTCTCCCAAGGCTGATGCACACTGTTCCTTGACCCAGTATTGTAACACACTTCAAACCCACTGCCTTCGAGTCGATTCCACTCACAGCAAGCCTATCAGACAGAGTAGAATTGCCCCATAGAGTTTCCAAAGCTTTAATCTTTACAGAAGCAGACTGTGAGATCTTTCTCCCACAAATTGACTACAAGAATGTGTATAAATTTATTTACCCTGGTAACTTATACTGGATGTTGACTACATAACTTGTCCCAGGTTCTTCCATCTACAAACAAGCCAGGCATTTCAGCCTTCTACAATGGTTTCTAAAAGTGTCAGCATTTGAAGATTGGCTCACTCAAGTGATTTATTGCTTTACAGTGTGATGCTTGGAATGGCAGTGTTGGGTTATGCCTGTTTTCTGAAATTGGTGTTACTCCACAGTTGCCAAAGCAGGGCACAGTGTCTCTAGGAATAAGCAGCTCCAAAAGCATAGTGTTTCTTCTTTTTAAAGTAATGACAAATAGTAAACTCTGAGTTGAAAGTCGGCCAATATCAGAAGCTGTGAGATGGAGCAGGGGCCTCCTTCAGCTCTCCAAAACTACATCTATATAACTGTTCTTACTTAACCATGGCAAGAGGGCAGGCATAGGTTGGGTGTACAGTGTACCTGTGATAGCTCCTGGATCAAAGATCTCATTGGTGGAGTAAGCGGGAAGGGCACGACGTAGGCAACAAGAAACTTGAGTTCAAGTCTTTACCCTGTTCCCTTCACATCTGCCTCTACCTGCAACTGTGTTATCTCTAGTAAGTCACTTAACTTCTCTAAAAAAAAAAAAAAACTTGCTGCTGTCGAGTCGATTCTGACCTATGACAACCCCATGTGTTACAAAGTAGAACTGCTCCATAGGTTTTTCTTTTTCTTTTTCTTTATTTATAATCTTTACAGAAGCAGATCACCAGGACTTTCTTCTACTTTTAGGTTAGCAGCCAATGACAAACTGCTTGTGCTGCCCCAGGGACATTTACTTCTCTAAGGAGCTTCAAATCCATCACTTAAATTCATGACAACCTTTTTTAGGTCTCTGAAATTTTTAAGAATCTGATGAAAGCTGTAAGACTTGTCTTCAGGGGAAAAAAATGCTCTTAAGCATATTCACACAAATGTTTGCAGAGAATGTCAGGAGTTGTCAAACACCCTGAAGGCCATTCATGGGCACCCTGCCAGGGACCCTGGATCACAGGTTCAAACCCCCAGAAGATCTTTGAAGGCATTTTGAATCCTAAAAATTTTTAATTCCATAGATGCTTTTGCAAAGGGCAATCCAGATGCCCAGAACTGAGTGAAAGTTCCTAAGATGAGTCAGCCAAGATGAGGGAGGAGAGTAGGTAAGACCTGCCTACTGTAACTTGAGAAGCTTGGCCTCCCCCAGCCTTCCCTTCATCAGTCTGCTAACAGAATGGCATGTCCCACAATGAAACCCACCTCCCTTTGTTGAAAGACATTAAAAAGTTTAAAAGGTTAAGGGGCTTGGATTACATCAATAGTGAGAACTCTGCTTGTACAGAGCTTACATTCTTTTGGTTAGCAGTCGAGCTCTTAACCACTGTGCCACGAGGGCTCCAACTAGTACCTAGTTAATCTATTTACCATATTAGCAAGGCTCTCCCTTAAGTTCCAAAGGAGGATATCAGGGTTGAGTTACCCAGAGTGGCCAAGAGGAGTGTGTTCAGGAGCAAGAGAGGGAGTGAAAGAGAAGTCACCCCAGGTGGGTTGCAGTGAGCACACCAGGCGGCCTAAGGGCAGTTAGGTGACTAGGTGTGGGTGCCTGTCCCCCTGCCCTTCACAGATGCCTCTGTCACAGCACAAAATGCACTGTGGCTTAACTACTATGAGGATGGGCCTCACCTGTCTTTGTGTCCCCAGTGCCTAACACAGTGCTTGGAACACAGTGGATGCTTGATAACTATTGAGTGAGCGGTTGGATAAATGATTCTGGAAGTACTTCAGAGTATGATAAATTGGTCCAGAAAATATAATTTCCTTACTTATAAAGTTTTCTTCCATCTCCACCCACCGTGTCAACTGTGCCCTAGAATGTAAGCTCTGTACAAGCAGAGTTCTCACTATTGATGTAATCCAAGCCCCTTAAATAATGCCAGGCACACAGTAGGCACTCAATGATCTTTGTGGATTGAATGAATGAATGAAAGACTTCAACCTACTTCCTATTTGTCTCATGAGGATTAAATGAGATAATCATACATGCCTGGCATTTAAACCTCAGCACACACTGATGGTCACCACATGGACTGGCCGGTCTTTGGGCAGGGTCCACTTCACCCTCCCAGCTGCAGCAGAAATGCAGCCTCCTCACCAACTCACTGGCCCTTCAGCTAGCCTGTCAGCCCATCAGGGGTCAGATCTTCCTGCAGGAAGCAGTCCTGCTGCTGGAGTTGATCCTGCAGAGCAATGAGAGAAGTGTCCATTTGGGCAGTCTGTCAGGACTTGCATGAAGTCATTTCCCCTGGGTTGAGGAGGCAAAAGCTGGGACAGCTGCCTTCCTCATTGCTGCAAGGTCCGGGGCTTACCAGCAGGCAGACTGGCTCCTGGCCAAATGGAGAAGCAGCAGGGAGTATACTGACGGTCTAAGGGCTTTGGTGATAAGGCTGGCAAGATTCTGAAGCCCCCTGTCAAACATTAGAAGTGTAAGATGGATGATGATAAGGGTGGGATAAAGGGAGAAACATCTAAATCTTACCAGAATCCCCATGCTGTCTGAATTTCTGCAGTCAGGGTCATTGAACCTTGCTGCTTAAAGTTTATCCTGTTTATTTGGATGCTGAGACCTGACAAATTCCAGGTCACTGCCTTGTCTCAAAACCCTACTATTTTTCTAATGACTTATATTTGCCAACTGGTGGTTTGTTTTAGGTTACTCCTGCTTCCTCTCAAGTTCCCTTAGATGCAGCTCACCAGTAAAGATGCTAAGAATTTAATGAACATGGAGCTTTATAAGCAGGAACTCAGTCCTGAGGTTAACAATTGACAAATAGAGATTAGCAACTTTTCTTAAGTTGCCTGAAACATTCAGATACCTGGTGAGCAATGTCAAAATCTACTCCTGCCCTTGGTCCGAAATAGCATTCCCCACCCCTCATCCCCTAGACATCCAGACATGCCATTCTGATGTCAGTAGAACCAAAGGGTCAAGTGAAGGTGAGAGAATTACTTAGAAACATACAGCAAGTCAACTTTAAAGTAAGTCCCTCTATGGTAGGCTTTTCTTTGGATAGCTTCTATTTCAGATTGCGTGGTGTTAGAACTGAAACATGGGGATATTGGTGGTTCAGTTGTACAGTTGTCTCCTTCCATGCAAGAGATCAGGGTTTGATTCCTGGCCAATGCTTCTCATACACAGCCACCACTTATCTGTCAGTGGAGGCTTGCATGTTGCTATGATGTTGAACAGATTTCAGCAGTGCTTCCAGACTAAGATGGACTAGGAAGAAAGGCCTGGTGATCTATTCTGAAAATTAGCTAGCAAAAACTCTATGGATCAGAACAGTCTAACCTGCAATGGATCATGGGGATGGGGCAGAATGGGGCAGCATTTCGTTCCATTGTGCATGCAACAATAACAAAGCTGAAAGCTACCACTGTTGTCAAAGGAAATGATACTTTTTCAGATGGAAACTTTGAGAAGTAGTAGAATGAGCTCCAAGTATGTACCATGGTAAGCAGCATATGAGTCACCATCCCACCAGTATGTCCAGACATTTCAGTGGCATCCTAAAATTGCCTGAGTCATGCCATTATATTATATGTCTTTCTAGATTGAATGAAGCCTCTAGGGTTTAAATTAGATTTTATTTCTTCAGCCTCAGCATATTGCCTGGCACAAAATAAAACAAAAACAAAATCAAACCCACTGCTATCTAGTCGATTCCAACTCATAGCAATGCCATAGGACAGAGTAGAACTGCCCCATAAGGTTTCCAAGGCGCAGCTGGTAAATTTGAACTGCCAACATTTTGGTTAGCAGCCGGAGCTCTTAAACACTGCTCCACCAGGGCAGCTGGCACAAAATAGGTCCTTAATAAATTTATCAAATGAGTAACTGAATGTTGCAGGTCCCTAGGAACAGTAACAATGTGAAACCTGGTATTAGTATGACGATGTTTTATAGTTGATAAAGACTTCCTCCAGGAGGTGAAGCAAAGATCGCAGAGTAGTCAGACACTTCTGGTGGACGCTCTTACAACAAAGACCCAAAAAAACAAGTGATTCGATTATATATGACAATCTAGGAGCCCTGAACATCAAAGGCAGAGTTGAGGAACCAGACTAAGTGGCAGGGAGAGGGAGAGACGGTTCGGAAGCAGTGAGGAGTTGCCACACCTGACCCAGCGAGAGCCTGAGCCCTTCAGGCCTGAGAAGCTTGTGGGTGAGCAGTGCGGCAGGCAAGCAGCTGTGCTCAGGAGGCACGTTTTCCACACTGGGAGAGACC